TTCTCGTGAATATGAAAAAGGTTTCTGAAAAGAAAAATGTGAATAGTTGAAGTAATATGGGATATTTTTGGAATCTAGAAAAATTGCACAGGAAGCACAAACACCAACAGCAGATGCCAAATAAGTAAAAGCCTTAATTCTTTCCACTCTTTTGTGAGCAATATTATTTGGAATTAATTTATTGATATAATTATTTAAAATTGGATTCAATATTTATTAAAACTCACAGCCAATCCAATAATTATAATGAACTATGTCATTGAATTATGTCCAAATAACATTCTTGCTCTTTTTTTTTCCTTTTGAGTTCAATGGTAAGCAATGTCCGGGCAAACATTATTACTTGTTTTTTTTTTATTCAACGATCAAGTATATTCGGATAAACATTATTACTTCGAAACAGGAAAACGCCATTTGTAGCTCTCCAAGTGGTCTTAATTACTTCACTTTAAATTTTCCTCTAATTTGGTACTTGCTGCAACCCAACAACTACAGCCAAGTCTCTCCTTAAATATGTTATTCATCATAATTAACTACAACCACATTAAATATTTTAAGGTTAGGGAAAGTTGGCACATATATATAACAGTTGTATACACCATAAACCGAAGGTGTTTGGAGGACTTGAAGGTCTTCAAAAGATGATGAAGGTCGGTTATCCTTCAAAGGCTCTGGTTATCAGAGTCAACCTGGTTTTCCTTGCTTTCTTCCTCCTCGTCTATGCCGCCCTTCTTCTCCGGCCATCTTCATCTGTCTATCATGAGAATGCAGCATCCCTTGTCCGGTGCTCATTGCGCGAATGCCATCACAAGGTAAGGTGAGCTTGCTCAATGGTTGACCATGTTTTCCAGTTTTTTCCAAATTCGCAGTAACGAGAGCCTCACTGTTTTTTTAAAATAAATGTAGTGTCTTTTGAATACCCATTTTCTCAAATTTGAATCCTTTCAGGGGGACAAAGGGATTAAGATGAAGGCAGTCTTGGAAGAACCAGGAGCTAACCAATCGAAGCCTCTAAGACAAATGGTAAAGAGAGAGAAACCGAGCTTTTTGAATGAAATGGGCATTGGGTTGAAGATGGGAATGGTGAATATGGGAGACGAGGATGTGAGTGACTGGAAAATCCATGGAAAGACTATACCCATATATTTTGAGCAAGTCTCTCAGTATTTTGAATGGAAAGACTTGTTTCCAGAATGGATTGATGAGGAGGAGGAGATCGAAGGGCCGGCGTGCCCCGAGATTCCGATGCCAAGCTTTGAGAGCTATGGAACTATGGACATGATTGTGGTGAAACTGCCTTGCAAGTATGAAGAAAAAGGGTGGGGGAGGGATGTTTTTAGGCTGCAAGTTCATCTTGTGGCGGCGAATTTGGCGGTGAAGAATGGGAGGAGAGGGTGGAATAGGAGGACGAAGGTGGTGTTGCTGAGCAAGTGCAGACCAATGATGGAGCTTTTCCGGTGCGATGACTTGGTGAAACAGGAAAGGGAGTGGTGGTTTTATGAGCCGGACATGGTGAAGTTGGAGCAGAAGATTTCGTTGCCTGTTGGGTCCTGCAATTTGGCTCTGCCTCTCTGGGGAAAAGGTCAGGTTTCAAAATCTAGTTACTTTAATCACTGTTTTTACAGTTTCAACCCCTTTGCTTACCAAGAAGTTGCATTGTGCCTTCGTTTGTTGAAATTTTTTTTTTCTTTTTTTTTGAACACACGCAAGGGAATACTTACTTATCTTATATTAATCAATTTATTTATTTATCGTTAATCTGTGAATTAGGAATATAAAATCAAGAGTTTTTTTTGTTTTTTTAATCAAATTCACCACTTATATGTTCTCTGGAAGAATCCAACTATTTTTATGATACAAAGTCAAGTTAATTTTTTTTTTTTTTAATTCTATAAAGGGTTCATGGCCTACCTATTTAAAATATAAAAAATGTTATGCAACTCGAACGTCGTAAAATGTTAAATTTAATCTCTTTGTTTTATTAAAATTATGTTATTTATGTTTGACATAATCTAACTAGTTCATTATTCATGGAATCATGTTAACATGTTGGTGTCAGTAACATACAATTCTAACACTTATTAATTACATATTAAGTTGGGTTGTGTTCACCTATAGTCTCAAATTTTATTTAGAGTAAAATACAATTTTAGTCTTTAAAATGTGTCTATTGTGTCTATTTGGTTTCCACTCGTTCGTTCAATTGTATCTATTTGGTCCATAAAATTCGTAATTTTTATCTATATGGTCTAATCTCAAGCGGTTGTCAGAAAATTATTAATGGCTTTGGTCACGCACTAATCACGTGAAATTAAATAAACATAAATTAGGAATTTTATTGATCGAATAGACACAAAATTAATAACCACGTGATTGACGCATGATCTGAACCTTTTCTCTATAAGGAACTGATGACATTGTCATTCACACCAGCATCATTTTTCTCTGATAAGTAACTGAAGACCTTGAAACCACAACACCATCAAGGCATTCCTAATTTGGCAGTTTGTACATGCAGAGTGCATAGCTTTGGCAATATATACTCTGCTGCTGTTCTGTGTTCAAACGCTGTTGTCAGTATTTTACCATATTTAATTGGAGAGTCTTGAGGCTTTCTGAGATTTAAGGTTATTTAAGCTCTCAGACTGCTGGTTTCCATTGTAGACGCTCTTCAAATAGAACATAGGAAATCCATAAGATCTATAAAATACTGCCAATTTGATGGTCTCATCCAACTTATGCTGTTTTGGACTCTCCAGGGCTTGTATAGTCTTAGATATGCTTGTGCCCATTCGATGCTCTTCAACTCTGGTAGTTTGCGCAGTTGCAACCACTCCAGATTTGGCAGCCTAGGCTCAGATAGCATTTTGTTCAAACAATCCCCAGTTAATTGCACAATCTGGCTTCAATTTTTTTTTTTTGAGGTTTTCTGACAGCTGCTATGAAGGGAAAACAGTTGAACGCTCTGGAAAACACCTAGATACAGATACCTGAAGTTTTGAAATCCCTAGTGTTGCAGGTTCTCGCTGTTATACGTAGAAACCTCAAATATTATACATAGAAACCCCAAAGTTACACATAGAAACTCCA